GGAGGGGGCTGTGTGTCTCCCAGGAGGGGCCGCTGGTGCAGGAGGGGGCTCCCATTGCCACTGATGAGTAAATTAAAAAGACGAAGAGGTAAAGAACGCTTGTCATGGTGCTTTTGTCAGGTTTCTGTAGATCAGGTGAAGCTCACTTGCATTGAAATGGGCCAGGTTTTTAGTCTTTCGACCACCAGCTGTCTCCAGTCACCATTCGTCGCGGGCGAATCGCGAATCCCGGCGGGGCGTTCCTGTGCCAGGGCTGGTGGGGTTTAAAACGGGCCGGGCGGGACTGGGTCTCAGCGCAGGCCTGTACACCCAAGACCTCGGCCGTGCTGGATGTGTCAAACGGGAATCCCGCGGTTCCTGCTCCGGGGTGCCGTGACGCGGCCTGCCTGGAGGTGTGAACGGGGCAGGGCGCGCGTGCAGCGAGCTCGCCGAGACGCTCAGGACCTCACCGAGTGATTCACAGACACTTCAGTGCTCCGCGCGGCTGAGTGGAGAGCTGGGAGAGGAACCCACTTTGCTCTGTTGCTATGACTCACAGCCATGCTCGCACCCTAATTCGATAGGTTGCTAGGGCGCTGCGGAAGCAGACCTCTCCGCTGGGGACTGGGGACTCGGAGTTCATGGCTGAACAGACGAGCCTGAAAGTAAATTCCAATTGGATTTTTTTTTGCCAGACAAGAGATGGTTGAGTGTGTGCAGATTTTGATTAGAGGGGCGTTTTTATAAACTTGGAAGGGAAAAAGAAACGGAAGGTGTTGTTGACACACGTAGGCTTAATTTGTGTTCCCGTAACAAAGAACATAAGGTTAGAAGTGAGAGTAGGCTGTTTGGCCCACCTGGTGTAGAAAAATAGCTTTTTTTGACTTGAGGATCTCATACAGTTGTTTCCTGAAGGAAGCAAGGTTATCGGTTTCAGCAACATGGTTGTTACACACTCCCGCCACCCTTTGTGTAAATAAGTGCCTCCTGTTCTGACTGGAGCTACATGGCTGCAGTTGTAATGAGCCGACGGCCCGTGTGTTAACGTTCCTGCCTAGAGAATAATTCGCCACCATGTCTGTGCCCCCGAAGAGTCAACTCGTTTTTGTTTTGGGCTGGCTGAAAAAGATCAGGGGCGGCTAAAAGCTGTGGTGGGTCGTGTTTCCCCACAAGCGTGCGGGGAGCTCCCAGCCGTGTGTCAGCTGGAATCGTATGACACGCTGGTAAGGTCTCATGTCCTCGTCTTGTAGAAGAGACATTGCTGCTCTGGAATCGGTCCGGTTCAGAGAAGAGCAGACGGGCCCATTCGTGGGCTGAAGGGAAAGTCCTCCCTTGACAGGCTGGAGGAACTGAATCTCTTCAGTGTTCAAGATCCTCAAAGTCAACCCAGCAGATTTCATTCAGAATGATCAG